CGAACTGAACATAGGGTAGGTGTTCATCCCAGGTGTTTGCATCATGTTCAGCAAGGATTGCAAGCATATCCTTGACTGAACGATTAGTCCGTTCCGTCATTCCGTTTGCTTGTGGGTGGTAGGCCGTTGTAAAAGCCGAAGTTGTCTCTAAAATCTTACAAACTTCTCTAAATATATTCCCATTGAATTCTTGACCCCGGTCAGAGACTAAAACTTTAGGAGGGCCGAATACAGTAACGAACCTACGCAAGAACGCATCTGCAACCGTACGAGAATCCTTCTGAGGTAATGCAACTAGTGTAGTGTATCTAGACAGATGGTCAACTAGCACCAACACATATCTGTTACCCGCATGACTGTGGTGTAAATCAATCAGATCGGCCCCCACACGATCTAACGGTTCACGAATTTCAGGAAATTCCTGAAGTGGGGCTTGTACCTTAAGGGTGCCTTTCCTCCTCTGGCAACGAGGGCACGACTTCACGAAATTGATTACCTCAGAAAGTAATCCTGGAAAATAAAATAGAGACTTTGCTTTTAAGTGCGTTTTAAAGATCCCACCGCTGCCACCATTGTAACACGGGTTAGGGTTCCTCTCTCTTTACTTCCTTCTTTCTACTCCCTCTACCCGTATTCTTACTTATTATTTCTAAACCAAGGGACTCCAAAACTTTTACCAAAGCCAACTCCACGCCACGTGGTCCTAAGACGATTGACCGACTTAGGATTCTACACCCAGTATGACGTGACCTAAGCTCTGAACAAAACCCTAGAGTCACCTCTGCTGCCACCACCAGACCAGTAATACAAGAGCAATGATCGAGGTCTGGATCGATCACGCTAATTAATCAACCTAGGGGCTTGATCCCCACTATAAACGATGACCTTGAGTGTGGAATAAATTACACGGTAATGATAATTCCGATTCGATGTTAGAATCGGCGCCCAATGCAACTCTGCCTCGTGTGGACCACGTGACCAGGACAAGTATACACATAAAACACATGGAAACAATAAAATGCAAATTAATAACAAATTTAATTTATTAAAAGAAAACTAAAACAAAATCTAAATATGTTCACTCCCTATCACTTTAACACTCCCTACTTGACCTGAGTGGCAAATGAGAAGACTATTTCTATAATTAACAATAGCAACTATACCTTGGGCGACCAGCTAGATGTCTTGGCTGGTCTTGGGGAGAGGTAAGATGTTTGACCTCTCCTAGCTGCTTCCGTGACCACACTGATCTTTTCCTTGTCTGGACTACCCCAGACAGAGTATTGTATTGTTCCGCATCGCTTACCCAGTTACTTTAGCAAGGTTAAGTTATAACAATTAAACTCTGTTGTACTTAATTGATCCAGACTGGTTGAATTATTTTACTGAATTAAATTACAAACATCTAACGGCAGAGCTGTTCCCGATCACAAAAATGGTTATTAAAACTTTGAGAAATAGTAGACCTGTCAACCCCTGATGACCTATGACCGCCGGTCACTCCGCTTTAAAAGTTAGATCTGATTCGTGACGTCACTGATGGTGACTTAAACTCAATAATTAGAATACTCTTGATATTGTATCCAGTACTATTATACAATACAATTTTAATGCAAAATGAATAAAGGCTAATTTTCTCTAAATTACTGAATACTATAGGATGATTCATTATACGCAGATATGAACAAAGCGTCGGTTATTTCCACCGCGAATTCCCCTGGGGGTCAGGTCACCATGCGGCTCAGCTTCCCATTCTCTTTTGTCGATAAACCACTCTGGATAATTCTTACAACAGCCTAGTTTGTTACACGAGGCCGTGTTCTCAGCACCAGGTGGGTGGCCAGAGGCCGTGTTCTGATCACCAGGTGGGTGGCCAGAGGCCGTGTTCTGAGCACCAGGTGGGTGGCCAGAGGCCGTGTTCTGATCACCAGGTGGGTGGCCAGAGGCCGTGTTCTGATCACCAGGTGGGTGGCCAGAGGCCGTGTTCTGATCACCAGGTGGGTGGCACCAGGTGGGTGGCCAGAGGCCGTGTTCTGATCACCAGGTGGGTGGCCAGAGGCCAGGGTGGGTGGCCAGAGGCCGTGTTCTGATCACCAGGTGGGTGGCCAGAGGCCGTGTTCTGATCACCAGGTGGGTGGCCAGAGGCCGTGTTCTGATCACCAGGTGGGTGGCCAGAGGCCGTGTTCTGATCACCAGGTGGGTGGCCAGAGGCCGTGTTCTGATCACCAGGTGGGTGGCCAGAGGCCGTGTTCTGATCACCAGGTGGGTGGCCAGAGGCCGTGTTCTGATCACCAGGTGGGTGGCCAGAGGCCGTGTTCTGATCACCAGGTGGGTGGCCAGAGGCCGTGTTCTGATCACCAGGTGGGTGGCCAGAGGCCGTGTTCTGATCACCAGGTGGGTGGCCAGAGGCCGTGTTCTGATCACCAGGTGGGTGGCCAGAGGCCGTGTTCTGATCACCAGGTGGGTGGCCAGAGGCCGTGTTCTGAGCACCAGGTGGGTGGCCAGAGGCCGTGTTCTGAGCACCAGGTGGGTGGCCAGAGGCCGTGTTCTGAGCACCAGGTGGGTGGCCAGAGGCCGTGTTCTGAGCACCAGGTGGGTGGCCAGAGGCCGTGTTCTGAGCACCAGGTGGGTGGCCAGAGGCCGTGTTCTGAGCACCAGGTGGGTGGCCAGAGGCCGTGTTCTGAGCACCAGGTGGGTGGCCAGAGGCCGTGTTCTGAGCACCAGGTGGGTGGCCAGAGAGCCGTGTTCTGAGCACCAGGTGGGTGGCCAGAGGTGTTCCGTGTTCTGAGCACCAGGTGGGTGGCCAGAGGCCGTGTTCTGAGCACCAGGTGGGTGGCCAGAGGCCGTGTTCTGAGCACCAGGTGGGTGGCCAGAGGCAGTGTTCTGAGCACCAGGTGGGTGGCCAGAGGCAGTGTTCTGAGCACCAGGTGGGTGGCCAGGGGCAGTGTTCTGAGCACCAGGTGGGTGGCCAGAGGCAGTGTTCTGAGCACCAGGTGGGTGGCCAGAGGCCGTGTTCTGAGCACCAGGTGGGTGGCCAGAGGCAGTGTTCTGAGCACCAGGTGGGTGGCCAGGGGCAGTGTTCTGAGCACCAGGTGGGTGGCCAGGGGCAGTGTTCTGAGCACCAGGTGGGTGGCCAGGGGCAGTGTTCTGAGCACCAGGTGGGTGGCCAGGGGCAGTGTTCTGAGCACCAGGTGGGTGGCCAGGGGCAGTGTTCTGAGCACCAGGTGGGTGGCCAGGGGCAGTGTTCTGAGCACCAGGTGGGTGGCCAGAGGCAGTGTTCTGAGCACCAGGTGGGTGGCCAGAGGCCGTGTTCTGAGCACCAGGTGGGTGGCCAGAGGCAGTGTTCTAAGCACCAGGTGGGTGGCCAGAGGCAGTGTTCTAAGCACCAGGTGGGTGGCCAGAGGCAGTGTTCTGAGCACCAGGTGGGTGGCCAGAGGCAGTGTTCTGAGCACCAGGTGGGTGGCCAGAGGCAGTGTTCTAAGCACCAGGTGGGTGGCCAGAGGCAGTGTTCTGAGCACCAGGTGGGTGGCCAGAGGCAGTGTTCTGAGCACCAGGTGGGTGGCCAGAGGCCGTGTTCTGATCACCAGGTGGGTGGCCAGAGGCCGTGTTCTGAGCACCAGGTGGGTGGCCAGAGGCCGTGTTCTGATCACCAGGTGGGTGGCCAGAGGCCGTGTTCTGATCAACAGGTGGGCGGCCAGAGGCCGTGTTCTAAGCACCAGGTGGGCGGCCAGCTAGTTTTCAACAGCTTCAACAGTGTAGACAAATTATGAAGCACTGTGTTTTCATTTTGAAAAAACAGTGAAAGATAAAACAAGATTTGAAAGTGACAGAAACACCTATGAAGATCTGTTGAAAAAGATAACTTCAGAACAGTTTCTATTGGATTTAGCTCTAATGTATGACACGTTGCATGAACTTGGTTTACTGTCAGAGTGTCTACAGAAACGCAATACTTCCATTGTATATGATGACACACTGATTCAACGGAGCATAAGGCCATGGCATAGACTAAGCGAAACCTGGCACTAGAACCTTAGAAGCTCAAAAGGCAATTGAAAAGGAGGAGTTTGGAGGAATTACCATAACAAGCATCAAGAAAATTGTCTCCATTAATTGTGAACAGTCTATTACTAGTCTTGTGAACAATTTGCAGCACCGTATGTTGACGACATCCATGAATGTCTCAGACTTCTGAACCTCAGAAGTATCTATAAATACATAACATAGTGAAATGTATGTCCTTGAAAAAGACTTCTGGCGGCTGGACTGATGAAATACCACCTAATTACGTAGACGCTGAAATTTTATCTCTCTGTGAGAGGTTTAAGCTTTCTTCTTACTCTGCACTAAATTCTTTTAGAGACTATGTAGAGGATCATGGACCGCAGCATCCCTCAAGATTTACACCCATTACTGAGCTGTTTACAAGTTATTTCTATTAGTACTGCTGAGTGTGAGAGGGGATTCAGTCACATTAACCTGATAACAACAACAATATGCTCAAGAATTCTCATAAATCAGGTATCAGTACTTATGTTTGTTAAACTACAAGGACCTCCTCTAGTTCAGTGGAGTCCTGAGTCATATGCCACATCATGGCTGCGGTGCCACAGGTCTGCAGATGACACTAGGACAAGAGTTGCTTCACACCCCGGGAATTATCTCACATCTGACCCTTTGTGGAAACTATTGTGAAACTTCTCACTGGTTGTATTTTGTGAGCACTAAGTGTTTTAACTTCATAAATTGATAAATATATGATTGATGTTTTTTCTTTATTTTTTTGATATTTATATTTTATGATAATTAGTGAGTACAAACACGAAATATTTAATCGTGTAACATATATAGAAACAGGATAGGAAATGACAGGCTTTTGTCAGGCCCACCAGAGCTCCGGCGCCTATAAAATTGTAACTGCACCCTTGTGTGTGTGTGGCTGTGCCGAGTGAGCTGCTGGACAGATGTATAACCAATTCTAATTTCTCGATATTTTGCAGATGTGAATCCATTAATGGAGGCAGCATTCACCCTGGGCCTCCTGCTGGTGGCTGTGGTCGTTATCTTCTGCTGCTTGTGGAGTCGCCTGAAAGGGTGGTGGAAACACTCCGGACGGGCCTCCTGTAACCCCTGCTGCGCCGCCTGTATCGACGCCTGCTGCTGTCCTCTCATGAACAAACTTACCCACTGGATATTCACTGTCCGGCCAATAGGAAACAAGAAGCAGAATGCCCAAGAAGAATTATCTCAAACACACGAAGAAACAAATAAGATGATCTGTGAGGTGGACCTTGGCTTCAGTGGTCGTCCTCCACAGAGCACGTCGGGGGGCGAGACAGAAGAGAGACTAGTCACAGATGGAGTCACACTCACGCCCACGGGCTCCCCCGACCTGTGGACGCAGGTGCCCTTACGCTCGCCTCTCGTTCACCACAAATCTCCTGAAGAACTCGACCGTCCAGAGTATTTGCAGTCGATCTCGGTGGATTCAGGTTGCGTCGCTGACGTAGAAGACGCCACCGTGAGAAAAACCTTCAAATCACAAATGTCTATGACGAGTTTAATCACTGCATTCAGAAGAATTGGTTCTCGCTCCTCTAAACGTGCCCCAGAGAGAGAAAATCCAAGATCAAAGGTCTATGAGAGTCAGAAGTCAATTCCTCTAAGTCGGTTTGTTGTGGACCCTCTGATAGGGAATCGGAGATCAAGGCATGGCACGCCGCCCCCAGACAACATGAAGCCAGGGTTCCGCCGTTCTGTCTCTACGGACGTTCCCGTCACCCCCAGAGACAAGCTAGGAGCGGCCCCACCACCTCCGCTCTCCAAGCTCAAACCCCACAAGAGTGCTGAAAACTTAATTAGCGTCTCTAAGGTAACCAACAGTCCTTTTATCCAGGTCGAGAAGAAAGACAAACCTCTCAAGGTAAACAAACACAACAGCCCCAATGAAGGAATGCAGATCAGCAAGGTAAAATCTTTAGCGCCGCTAGACATATCTCCAAGGATCTCACCAGTTAGAGGAGCGCCTCCGCCGCCCGAACGCACGCCACCGTCAGGAGATCACGCAAGGAAGCCCTTGATGCCACCCACGAAAGCAAAGATCTCATCCATCCATTCCAAATTGCCTGCAGAAGGGGGTAATTCAGGAAGCCACACACAGCCACTGCAGGACATCCCGGAGAAAAGGGTCGACAGCTCTTCTTCAGCGCCTCCTAAACATAGAGCGGGGCCTATGATGCCACCACCTGCTGGGCCTGCAGCCTTGCCCAGCACAAGAGCGCCATCCAAGGCGCCAGGCTCAAAGCCGCGGTCTGTGGCAGAGGAGAGGACTGCTGGTGGCGCCAGCAAAGGACGTAGTGTTAAAGACATCGCTCGCCGGCTCGAACAATTGTAAGACTAAGTGCTTTCCGGATTGTAAACAAACATTGTGCATAGTTTTGTTTATTCCATTTTATTCCCATAAACAACAAACTGAAAGTTGTACACCCTGAGACCTTGAGTTAGTTCCAAGGAACTATGTGCCAGCGGCCCCTGGTTGATTTGCCGCTCCGTAAAGAAACTCATCTTGAACTAATATCATTGTTTGTATTATTATTATTTTCTATCACAGACGTGGCCACACACTTAGAATGTTAGCCAGCATGTGTATATATTTGTTTCCTTCTTCCATGGACAGGGTTAGAGATTTGTAAAACATGCAGTTCAGTGATTTATTGAACAACCACAGAAGATGATTGTGGTGCCTTGAAAATGCTAATCTATCCTACATACATAAATACATACATTTACGTCTGTCCTACATAAACACACATATCCTGATGGAGAAGATAGTGAGAAAAACTTAGTAACAAATCTGGAGAGAAGGGACTTCGTGCCACACCACCAACATGGGTTCAGTGATGGTAAATCTTGCTTCACAGGTTTAATAGAATTCTACTTTCAGGTGACAAAGATTAAGCAAGAAAGAGAAGTTGTGATGGTTGCATTTTCTTGGACTGTCGGAAAGCCTTTGACACAGTACCACTTAAGAGGCTTGTACATAAAGTGGAGAAACAAGCAAGAGTAACTTTAAGGGTGCTCCAGTGGATAAGGGAGTACCTAAGCAATAGGAAGCAGAGAATTACGGTGAGGGGTGAGACCTCAGAATGGCGTGTTGTCACCAGTGGTGTCCCACAGGGTTCTGTACTCGGATCTATCCTGTTTCTGATATATGTAAATGACGTTCCACAGGGCATAGACTCATTCCTCTTATTCCTTCCTCATTCTTCTCATTCCTCATGTTTGCTGATGATGCCAAAATTATGATAAGGATTAAGACAGGAGGCTTCAAGATGACTGTAAATACTATCTGAATACAGAAACACTTGATGATATACTGGACTTCAACCTAAGATTGAGAATGTAATGCATCAGTTATACAATGTATGTGAAGTAACTGTAACCTGAGCTTGTAAAAATATCTTAATCGCTTTCAGTGGTTATTAAGTGCTTAATAACACACAAGTTTCTACAGCAACTATCTTACGCTGTCAAGAGACATAAATGTATATGTGTATATATATGTATGTATGTGTATACAGGATATGTGTAAGCTGGTGAGAATTACATTTCACCTTTGTAAACGCACATTAATGACACTATGTAAAAGACACCTCCAACACTGTTTACGTAGGACAGACGTTAATCTGCGTATTTCTGTATTTATGTTTGTGGGTTAGATTCGCATTTTAAAAACATTACAATCACATTCTGTGGTTGATCGTTCAATAAATTACTGAACTATATGTTTAAAACACCTCTAACCCTGTCCATAGAGGACAGAAAAAATGTATATATGTTGATTGCCATTGTAAATATGTAAAAGTTCCTACTATGAGACATTCATAGTATTGTGTAGTTACTGTGTTATATAAACATCAAACACTTCATGTCGAATGTTGTTCCTTAATAAACGAAGCTGACGAAATTGAAACTGAGCAACCAGCCTGTTCTGCCATCAAAGTTAACGCCTATCACCAACGTTAATTAGTCAGTATTCGAGTTAAACATCTGGCAACCGACTGACAATGAATCTTACGGTGTAATAACCAATTATTTTTTCTCAAATATATATTAAATTAATTGCAATATATTGCGCTAGGTTGGGTAAGATGTTTGAGTTACGTCAATTTTTGGGAATGTTTACAGTACGGGTTGAAGGTGAACGAAGCACGTCTCGAATCATGGCTTCGAACAGACTCGCTGGCAAATGTACAAAATACGGGCCATTGCTGAATGGGATGGTCGACGTTTTGTACAAATTCATTATGGACACGCTGGCCCTTTGTTCTGGCGATGGGCTATGATTTAATTATAATAAGAGGTGAGAATATTAACATTGAACTGGGTTTGTGCGAGACGAATTTGAAGCGATGAAACTCTGGGCAAGTCGATACTGGTGCCAGTCATGGTACGTTGACAGTACCCGTCGAGACAGAGAGAGATAGTGCTCGTCAAGGCAGAGGGATATAGGACCCGTCAAGGCAGACAGACACAGTACCCCCTCAAGGCAGAGAGACAGTTACCATAGGTAACTAACGAAGCTCGCTCAACAGGTACGTCCTAATCAACACCCGTGTTTACATCCTAATCCCTCCTGGTTCCTGGGCAGCGCTTAGGTAATGGGCGGCGGGCAAAGGGAGGAATGAAGGGGGGGGGGGGTGAGGGGCTGAAGGGTGTAATCTGAGCAGCGGTACCTTAGTGAGTAGTAGTAGTAGCGGCCGCTAGATGGCAGGCGCGATAGTCAGTGATTTGCGACGTAGCTGCAGCTGGTTAGTGGGGCACCGCAAGGCGGTCGCCTGCTCCCTGCATCCTCTCTTCCACCACCTTCCCACCCGGGCTCTGATACTCTCCTTCCCACCCCTGGCTCTTCCATCCTCCCTCCCACCTGCTCTCCCTTCTGCTATCTCAACCATCCATATATCCACTTTCCCTCTTCCATCCACATTATTTCTTCCCCACTTGTTTATATAATAATTAAGATGTAGATGTGGAATAAGCAGACGATGTCCTGATGTAAGCCTCCACCTTCGGAAAAATGAAACAGTCAATTCAACTTCTTGGTAGGAAATGTGTTGAATTCGGGTTCACTCTTTCCACAATTAAGACGAAAAGTTACTCTCGTCACGCGAGGAGAGACAACGAGGTAAGGGAAAGTAAGGGAAAGTAATTTCCTCTAGTAAGGGAAATAAAAAAGCATCTGGATCAGTTCATAAGGACTCGTGATAGCCATTCCAGCGCCCCGCGAGCCAGGCCCTGGGATGGTCACGGGGCTTCTGGTGCCGCGCTTAAAGTGATTTATAGATTAAGCCGCCCGTTGTTATGCCTAGATGACTCAACCTGCATTTAGATGCTTGAAAGCATACAAAATAAAGTCATGCGATTATCCTAAACACTGGTGAAACGTCGAATCCCCGAGAGCTGTGTCTACCTACGAGGGGGCCTCGTAGCCTGGTGGATAGCGCGCAGGATTCGTAATTCTGTGGCGCGGGTTCGATTCCCGCACGAGGCAGAAACAAATGGGCAAAGTTTCTTTCACCCTGAATGCCCCTGTTACCTAGCAGTAAATAGGTACCTGGGAGTTAGTCAGCTGTCACGGGCTGCTTCCTGGGGGTGGAGGCCTGGTCGAGGACCGGGCCGCGGGGACACTAAAAAGCCCCGAAATCATCTCAAGATAACCTCAAGATAACCTAACCCCCAATGTTAAATATAGAGTTAGGGAACTTAATTCAAAGCTCACAATTAAGATTAAGCCTGAGACCTCCCCTCCCCTCTACGGTAATATTTCCAAGGATAAAACCAAGTCCTGTACTAACTACAGGAGGGGACAGGGAATGCACCGATTCAAAATATGATCTACAAAACCTTAGAGATAAAACAGGCGGAAAACCAAGCGATAGTCGCTGAATAAGTAAAGATTGCTGGGAAAATACTAACCGATCAAGGAAGGCCGGTCAGGCAGGTTCATGGGGATTCACTCTCACATTGGAATCTGTGGAAATGAATGAGCAGATGTGCTGTTGAGGGCGCTGAAGGAGACCATATTGAACACAGGAATACTGAAATAGCGAGATCCAAGAGCTGAACACTCTTGATCTTGCAGGCACAAGTACATAGTTACACACACCGCATTGTCTCATCCACCTTCTGTCCCCAGTATCGAGAGAGATAAAATAAATAACGCATAGAATTATTACAACAGAGGGAGGAAGGTAGGGAAGAGGCAGGGAGATCATCCCCCTGGAGCCGACTACCGCAAGAGCGTGATTCAACGCTCCATTGACCCTCCGAGCATCTCAAACAGCCTCGCCAGACACCACTAACCAGCTAAATGGCTTGATTGCTAAGTCTCCCACACCCGGCGAACTTGTGTCCCCCGGTTAATGAAGGGTACTGGCAGGTGTGGGCCGCATGGTAAACGAGGGAGCTGGTACCTTAGACACTCAGACACGGTTTATCTCCAGCTCTCATCTCCTTGATCTGTATGTTGCCAGCATCCTCCATATGATGCTAGTGCGTGTGTGTACTTACCTCTCAGTGACTATGGAGCAGTGAGGTCTATAGCTGTTCATGCCCCGCCTACTACCCTCCTTGTGCCTGTTGCCTTATAATTTAACTATTCTGACGTGTAAATGCCTTGTCCGATCTGACCTTAAAGTTGTGGATGGAGGTGGCGTCCACAACCTTTTCTTTGAGTGTATTCCACTTGTTGACCACCTGTACTGGGTACGAATATTCCCATATTTCTTTGACTCACTTGTGTTTCCAGCTTTCATTTATGTCATTTAGTCCTGCTTTCTCTCACATTAAAGAGGTTGTCCTTTTCCACCTTGTCTGTTCTCCTCAGTATCTTGTATGTTGTGTTTATATTCCCTCTGTTTCTTCTATTCTTACCTTCTGTGAGGTCTAGTTCCCTTAACCTATCTTCATAGCTCTAGCAAGAAGTAAGAGAGCTCTGAACGCTTACTGCAAAACCTCTACACTTTTCAATTTTGGTTGAATGTTCACAAGATGCAGATTCTATGTCAGTTCTGCATATTCCAGTACTGGTCAATAGCTGCGTAGTTTGCCTTGAAGTGCTATTTAGGTTATTAAGTGATGTAATTTTCGCCAGCGTCTCATATGCTCCCGATGCTACCTTGTTTATGTGCGCTCACGTGTTAGCGGTGGAATTATATTCGCTCCCAAATCTTTTTCTGATACCGATTCGTGTAGTAGCCTTCCCCCAAATACCTCCTGGTCTCCTTTGTCCCTATCTAATATTCATTATATTACGCTTGTTTGGAATCAATTCTAGCAGCCATTAGATTGCCCACTTCTTAAGTTTGTCAAGATCTTTCTGTAAAAGATTAAATATGCCAAAACTAGAAGACAGAAGAAAAAAGAGGTGATATGATCACTACATACAAAATAGTTTTTTTATTATTATTTTTTTCTACCACAGACGTGGCCACACATTTACAATGCTAACGAGCATATATACATTTTCTTCTGTCCTCCATGGACAGGGTTAGAGAAGTGTTAAACATATAGTTCAA